ATATATATATATATATATATATGATTCAAGAACTCGAAAATTCGCAAATTCTCGCAAATAACAGAACTAGAACTCGCTGATTGAAGAATATATATATGATTCAATAACTCGAAAATTCGCAAATTCTCGCAAATAACGGAACTAGAACTCGCTGATTGAAGAATTCAAAATTCGCGAATTCTCGCAAATGGCAGAACTTGCTGATTAAAGAATTCACAAATGGTATAGAATATCCAGTGCTGTGTGTTTTTTTCAAGGGTAGTTTTGGTATTTTTTTTAAAAGACTAACTTCTTTAACTTTAACTTTAGATGAAAAATCAAGTTAGAGGGTAAGTGATAAAAAAAGTTTTAAGTAAGGGTGTAAATGATTAAAAAAAATTTGGGGGGTAAGTGATTCTGACTAAACTTTCAGGGGGGGTTTGAAGTTTTCCCTTTTTTTTAAGCTATAAGCTACTTATAAGCATAAGTTAGGCCAAACAGGTTTTGAGAAAAACTCTTATAACGAAAAACTCTTTTTTTATAATGAAGAAAAAAAAATGAAAACTAAAAACTCCTAGAAGTAGGAGCTTTTTTTAAGCTCTTATCTATTTTTCTTGAATTGTGTGCTTTTTTTAAAAATGAAGAGTGATAAAGATAGAGAGAGATAATTTTCTTGAAATACGTACTTTTAAGTAATTTTTAAGCTAAAAATTTTATGCAATTTTCCAACAGCTTTTAGCTTTTTTTTTAAACTCTTTTTTTTTAGCTTTAACTTATAAGGAGCTTCTAGCTTAAAAATAAGAGAATCCAAAGAGACTCTAAATTTGTTCTCTTTAAAGAATGGCTTTGTGCCAAACGAAATATGATATCTTGAAGTGTCAAATACTCTCCGCAAGAGATAACATGAAATTATTATGAAACATCCGTAAAACTATGTGAACTTTTTTGTTGTTACCAAATTTCTGGTAAGGTTGTGGTCTGTCCAACGCCAAAACAGAAGAAAAATATCTCAAGGCATCATTAAAACACATCTATTGTAAACTAATTTGATATAATGTAGAAATGTAATATTAAATAACTAAGTTAAATAGGGCGGTGCTACGTTGCACGTTGCGCCCCATCCATTTGTCAAGTATTGAAATAAAGGAGATTACATTTACCAAAAAAAAAAATAGAAAATAAAAAGAATTACTTCTGTATGAGATAAATTCTTTTACGTTAAAAAACAAAAGTTAAGACCACTATTTTTTTAAAAAAAAAAATGGCACATTTTTCAATGTAAGTGCAACATAAGGGACAAATCTTTGATGCAACTGTTGATAGTGATGTAAATGAGCCGAGTCAATTTTTAATTTAAACGAGTCAAGTTTATGAAAAATATTTTGAGCTTGGCATGACTCATTAGCTTGATATGAGCTAAATTCTAGACTTGGATTGTTTATAAGAAATTAGAAGTTTGACTTGACTCATTTATAATTATAAAATGTATTTTTTTTAAAAGTCTAAGATCGAATAATGAGTTTCGCAATTTATTCTTAAACATTGATCTAGCTCATGAAATAGAGAATGTATTTTAAGAAAAAGGAAAAAAAATTAAAATATTACTATTTTAATAAATAATTACGAATACATAGCTGATTTGAAACAATTTATGAATTTATTGCACTCATCCACGTTCAAATTAGGCGTGACTCCCGAGGCATTCACGCTTAAATTAGGCGTGACTGTCTGGTGTTGACACGTGGCACAAAAATTAATAATTTAACCGTAAAACTTTATAAGGCTATAACTTTTGACTCGGGTATCCGAATGAGGTAATTCTTTTTTTGATTTCACATAACTTTTCGATATCTACGCATTGACATCTCATTAGATATATTTTATCTCTCAAAAACACAATTTAAATTTGCAACAATGATACTATAAAGATGGCACCAAAGTGTCAACTTATATATAAATAAAATGGCACCAAATTTCCTATTAAATATAAAACGCAATCAACTCCTATTAAATACAAAACACAATCAGCTCCTATAACATTAAATTCAAAATTAAAATAACTTCCAGCAAATTTATTTGAATTGGCGACAATTTGTAACCAACTCATAAAATTACAACACAATCAGCTCATATTAAATACAAAACACAATCAACTCCTATTAAATACAAAATGCAATCAACTTATTGGAGGTTATTTGAATTTTGGATTTTGAATTTAATGTTATAGTACCATTATTGAGCGTGAATGAGTGCAATATATTCGTAATTAGGATGAAAACGACAACTTATTCGTAATTAATTATTAAAATATATACAAATTTATATAATATTCTACCAATTGTTTAAAATATTTATTTAATTTTTTTTTATTATTACAGATTTTTCAAATTGATTTTTGAGTTTAAATCACAAATTAAATCTTTATTTTATTTTTCTTATTAATAATAATTTTTAATTATTTTTGGTAATACACTATATAATACAATTATTGTAAATTTGAATTGTGTTTGTGAGAGATAAAATATATCAAATGAGATGTCATTGCGTAGATCTCGAAAAATTATATGAAATCAAAAAAAGAATTACCTCATTCGAATATCCGAGTCAAAAGTTATGGTTTTCCAAAGTTTTACGGTTCGTAAGTTGATTTTTTTTGTCATGTGTCAACATTAGATGATTCACGTCTAAATTAAGCGTGAATGCCTTGGGAGTCACGCCTAATTTGGGCGTGAATAGTCACGCCTAATTTGGACGTGAATGAGTGCAATAGATTCATATATAGTTTCGAGACAACTATATATTCGTAATTATTTATTAAAATAGTAATATTTTAATTTTTTTGCCTAAGAAAAATATGTATTTTAAACTAACCATTAAATTTTCTTCTTAAATGTGTGACGACTTAACTGCTAATAAAATAAGTTGTCCAAACTCCAAAGCTTATTATATTGTAATCTTCAAAGAAGAATAGAGAAAGAGTATCTGAGTTTGGTCAGTTGCTTATGGAGTTAGAGACAAAAGTAAAAATATAGGGTTAATGATTTAGTAACACAAAAATATATTATTTATTATAATAATATATCGGGCAAGCTCATGGCTTTTGAAGCCAAGTCTCATTACATTAGGTTTAAACTTGTTTGCTAAACAAGTTTTTTTTAGAGTTTGAGCCTATTCTATTTATTAAACAAATTAAATTAAGTCAAACCTTGGGTCCTTAATAAGCCGTTCGGCTTATTTATATCCTTAACTGCTGCACCTACATCTTCTTTCTAAATAAGAAGTTTTTTCCCATTTCAACCCTATTTTTTTTGCTATTTTCCTCTACGTGTCCTAATGTTTTATCCTTATTTGAAAAGGATATATGATCTAGCAACTGCATCAAAGATTTATTCGCTGAGAGATCAATTTCATTAAACATGAGAGAATGATTTCTCTAAATAAATATAAATTTTATTTATTTATAAGATAGCAAAAACTACAAGGACATAAGACTTTATATTTTATTTATAAGATAGCAAAAAATACAAGGACATAAGACTCGATTACATGACCGGTTATTCTATCACACAATCTATTTATTTATTTATTTTTAGTAAATTTTTATCGCACAATTTAATTTAAATTTATGACATGTTTGGTACGAATAATAGAATAAGATTTGATGATATAAGATTTAACTGTATAAAATATTTATTATATAAGATAAAATTATCTTGTTTAATAATGTATTGCAGAACACTGCCACTGAATAGGATAAAATATACTATATTTATATAAAATTCGTTATTTAGATCAATTGTTACTTAAAATAAAATATTTTAATATTATAATAATTTTTTTATTTTTGCATGAACTTATACATACAATTCAATTAAGTCTAATCTAATTTCTCAAGATTTGGTTAAATAATTCATTATTTTAATTTATAAGAAGCAGGGAAGGGATTTGATCAATGACCTTATAGAACACACTGCTTACACAAGATAACTGATAAAGTCATAATATATTGTATTAACTTGGGGTTCGTTGTTTTTAAGTCAAAGACAATTTTGTCTAATAATCACCTAAACGATGTTATTTTAGGGCGAAAATTATTGTATATTTGTAATTTTAACTTATTTGAGGATTATAATAGTCTTTATCGTTTTATTTTTTTAATTTTTCACCTCTAAAATAACGTAGTTTCTATGAATATTAAAATCTTTTTATCTAAATTAACGTTAGATACTTTTTTTTCTCCATTAACTTAAGCATAAATTAGTATATCTCAAAGATGTAATGAATAAATAAGCATATTTTTTTAATGAAAAATGTAAAGATTCTAATACACTTGTTCTTAGAAGAAATTGAGTATTTGTATAGTATTATTTTTGAGACGAATTTAAAATACTAATTCTGAACTCGTCTTAAATCAAATTAATTATAAAATAACGAACGGATTGAAATATTTAAAAAAAAAAGTAAATATAATTATAAACGTTAATTTTTATAATATCAGCTGCTTTCAATTAGTCGTCGTCATCATCATCTTAATAAAGCAAACTCAATACGTGATCGACAGCAAGTCAGCAACCACTGTCAAAGCATCAATTGGTTTAGAGCAGTAGTGGCTTAAATCTCGGCGTGACGATCGATTCTGTTGAAATATTGGTTATTAGTTCAATTGGTGAATTATTAATTTAATTGATTTAATTAAATTTATATTAAATTATCTAATAAATATATTAATTAATTTGAATTAAATTTCTTGTTAAAACAAATGTTTTAAGAATCAAAATAAATATTAATCGTCAGATAGATATTAAACGTGAGAAAAATAAACTATGTTAAGCGATAAAAAAAATGCGTTTGCCGGGAGTCGAACCCGGGTCTATTGCTTGGAAGGCAATTATCCTAACCGTTGGACTACAAACGCATGTTGTTAATAATGAACTCTTGTTTTTAAGTTTGATCTATTACTCTTAGTTTTTCGATGATTCATATCGTGGACCTTGCGTGTGTGCCATACCATACACAGCAATTTCTGGGTACGCGGTGGGGTTGGAGCTATGGATTCAATTCCTGTGAGGGCCACGATACCTTCTTCTTCAGTTTGTAACAGTCATGGTTTCCAATATCAAAGGAACACAATTATACGACTCTCACCCTCACCTATGCATCCAACAAGAAGAGTGGTTCCCAACCAAAACAATCATTTACGCTCTGCTATTCGAAACAAACTATCTGATACTGATTTTCAAGGTACCCACTAAAAAATTTATGTAGAAAACTATTAAAAATCGAAACTTTGAACCTTTAGCTTCATTTAAATGGATTTTATTTGTTTTTGGTTATCTCTCTCTTTCTCTCTTTTGGGATTTATGTAATATATGAGCGTTTTGTAAAGTTATGAATTTGAAAGAAACAAAAAAGTGATTGGAAATTTGGAAGCTTTTCAAGAAGCATTTCAGCAATTGGGTTTTTGCCAATTTTACTTTCTAGTTGGTTAGACAGATGATATATGCTGGTCGTCAAGGTTGATATGGTTTACGCTTTACACTGACTTGCATCTATCTGGCCAATCGTCATAAATTTTAATGATCATAATCATAATTACATTGTTTGCTTCAGTGATGTGAACTGTTAGTCAAATCTTTCTCTTTTTTAAAGTACCTTACTTTTTTAATACTGCAATTTTAATTGCAAGGCTTAGCATATTAAGTATTTAAGTTTGGTGTGCCTCAAAAGACTATTGCCATGGACCTATTTGGTTGATTTTGACTGTCCAAATTTGTGTTGGTGTTATCCGATTTGTGTGTCTACAAGGTAGTTTATGTAAAAATACAAAATTGTGTATTTACTAATCACTTTAGTATCCTAGAATTTTACTTTCTTTGCATAGCTTTTGAGTTCAGTCATACACTCAGGAAGCTTGGATTTAACCAGCTTTTGTTTGCATGGCCTAAAAGTGGATGACAAAACTTATCAGTTCCATACTTGTTGGGTGCAATAATTGGTAGCAACTAACATGGGTTGTTTTGCACATTTTTGGACCTAAAAGTATTTCCCTTCCTAATATATAGGATTGATCGGAGTTAATTCCGTTGATTATCCTAATTATTGGCTGCCCATTTTTCTTTTAACTTAAATATCTTCTTATCAGACACTTTTCCTTCATGTGCAATGGTTCTGTTTTTTTATTCATATTTTGTGATAGAAGGGTGTGAGAGATAGGGGTTATCAACCCAGTAACACATCATTTCACTGAAGACCATTTGAATTTATTCGTCAATCTCTGATTTTCCTAAGTGCTACGTGGTTTGTGCCACAGATTTTCAGAGCTATGCGAGGCCTTCACGTCTTTTGTCAGCCTCTGAAGTGAAAGTGTACACAAATACATCAATAGAAAATATTTTACTATCTCTGAAGGAGGATAGATCCAAATCTTTATTTAGGGTCAAGTTAGGTACCAGCAACTTATATGGCTCAAGTATAAGGGACTTCAATGCTGGAATTCTCCTATGCTTGATAGATGAAGATAGAAATTCCATATTGCAGAGGATACCCGCGAGTTTGATGATGGATGATTCTACAGAATCAGGGGATATAACTAATTTTGACATGCTTCATTTCCAAAGAGGTTCTGTTGATGAATTCATCTTTGAGGGTCCTAAAGTTGCAAGGCTCGAGGCTCTTTGGATCAGTGTTGAATCAGGTATCTTACTATTATTGATTTGTTTTTGGAATGATTAAGATTCAGTAGACATCATCCCTGACCTACAATTTCAAAGTACCTTTGATTAACACGTTCATCTGCCAACAAGGTTGTTTTAAGTACTAAGGAAAATATCCCTTTTGCATTCTTGGCTAGGAAGCCTGTCTACAATTATATTTCTCTCAAATTCCAGTTTTTAAAAGCATTGTACAACCAATATATGCCTTTTGTGACCGAAAGTTCACAGGTTTGAATCTAGAAAACAACCTCTTTGAAATAATGTAAGGGTAAGTTTGTATACACGGATTTTCCTCATCCCTATCCACGCAAAGTTGTGGTTTCATGGGGAGAGGATTTTGCTATCATTTAAGTCTGCCCCATATTGATTCGTTTAAACTAAGTTTTTCTAACAACATTCTTCTTCTCTCTCTCTAAGGTCAGGTCAGTGGCGCCTAGGAAGTGTCTCCTTAATGGATGTTAGTTGTGAATGGCAACCATCATTGCCAGAAGATGGGGTGCCACGGTACACGGGTTTCCAGTATGATTTTCAAATTGACAATGTATTGCTTGGTGAGGGAAGTGATCTATCCATGTTGGAATTAAGACCTAGCCTTGTGACTGAGCTGGAGGGGATTGATCCCATAAGCTTCTTCAACAAAGGACTTTATGACCATACCTTGCTCTTAAGTCCTAATATCTCAAATGAAGAGAGTATGAGGGACTATGCAGATTTGAAGTTCTCATTGCTATTTTATGATGCTATGTTGACATTTTTTGGTACATCAGTTGCTTACCTGTCAGCTGGGGAAAATGCTGGCTTTGCTTTCTTGATTGGTGGGATTGGAGGCTTCTTGTATCTTCTACTGTTGCAAAGATCTGTGGACGGATTGCCAGCTTCAGAATTAATTACCAGTAACAAGGGAGGAACTAATGCATTGTTCCGAGGGTTCAAGGGCCCAATAGCGAGCGTGGCATTGGCTATAGGCTTTGCTGTTTTTGCAGCCAGGTATAGCTCAGGAGATCTTCAAGAGATGCTAACACCAAAAGATCTCATAGTTGGAATGATGGGGTTTCTTGCATGTAAGGTGTCAGTGGTGTTGGCTGCATTTAAACCTATAACACCAGGTCCAAAGTTACCAAGTGATATGTAATACTATACTTCACCTTTTTTTTTTTTTGGATAAGGAATATTATACCTAACTTTGCTGCTTGTGAAGTGATTTAATCAATTCAATCAAAATATAATACACAAAATTTATATGATATTAATATGAGAACATGAATATTAAATTAGAATAAAAATATCAATGTTTCATAAACACAAAATAAAATATTATCTATCTAATTATTGTCGTATCTTACTTGTATCAGTACATAAATTCAAAAATAATTTTAAAAAAAATACATGTTAGAAGTATCTAAAAATATATGAAGTGGATCTTCTCATGTTGAAAAAGATATGATATGGTCATGTGAGTAATTATAATCATATAAAAGTGTATCAATGGTGATAAAAAAGGAGAGAGAGAAAAATATTAAAATAGATAATTATTAAATTATAATCATTGATTTACCTTTGTATGGTTATCATTGTTCCATATGATCATATCATTTTTTTTTTTTATTTTCAAAACTTGAGAGGATCGATTTCCTTATCAAATACAGATATGATGACCATTTTGTAGTGCAGATGGTTTTTGAGTTTTGCTCAATTAATAAATGGTAGCTCATTTGGTCTCGAATCGGACGGACTAGTCATGGAGCAATAGATAGATTGAGATATCTCAAAAAAAATAAAATAAAAAATCTAAATCAGTTAAATACAAATATATTTTGATTAATTAATTAGTTTCAATTTCAAATTTGTCAACGATATAGGAAAACATTACAAAAAAATAAAGGTGAAACCTTTGCTTTTCTCTCTCTGCAATCTGCATTTTTTTTTCTGTCTCTTTTTGTTTGTTTTTTCGTGCTTGTCTTCAAAAGTCATTGTGTTTGGTTCGCCATTGTAAGATCAGGTTTGCTCCTGCTATCGTCTGTTTGAGATTTGGATGGGAACGGACTTGGTTTAATACTGTTATCGCCATTATACGCTTGTTTGTCGTTTGTATTTGATGTGCTTTGCTTATTGGTTCTCTCCTTTTCGTAATATTAAGAGGTTTGGAATGGTTGCTGATTGGAGATCATTGCGTTGCAGGGTTGGTTGGTTCTGAACAATTTTGTTAGTTTTGAAGAATATTCATCTGTTTCTACAATGTCTGATTGAGTTCCTGAAGATATAGTGGAGGAAATCCTCCGTCTCCTTCCGCATAAAAGCATTGGAAAGTGTATGACAGTGTGCAAATCATGGAATCTTTTGATAAAAAAGCGCTTACTTAATTACCAAAATAGCCACCGCACAAAATAAGAAAGCAGAAAACAACAAGCGAATACACCGAAGCTGTTTTACTTTTTCTGTTTCTAAAACAACAAAACAGAAACGGTTTTAAAAACAAGAAGCGTGGAAACAGTGTCGTCAAACAAGTTTTTTTATTTTTTTGTTTTTAAAAACAAAAAACTGTTTACAAAACAGTTATCAAGCACACCCTTATTCTATGATCCTCATTCTCCTTTTTTTTCTCCCTCTCTCTCTCCTCACTCCTCACTCCTCTCTCTCTCCTTCTTATTCTCTTAGTAAGGAGCACAAGGCCGGGAGCCTTGAATATTCACTCAACCACAAACACCCCCTGCATTTACGACACGACACGTGTACTTAATATCATCAACACGGTCGAATAAACAACGGGGCTTTCCATTCAAAACGACAACACTAACAGCGTACACAGCACTCTCCATTTCAATTTCAAAGCCCCACAAACAACGCGCCAAATCAAATTTCCCACCAGAACACAATTTCCTAACGAATCCCTTCATTTCCATAATTACCCCTCCCGTTTCAAACACATCAAGTCGAAGTCCTCCACCAACCATAATCCAAAGGGTATATTCGTAAAATACAAACCCTCAAGGGAATTTTCCATCTCCGAAATCCCCAAATTACCCCCTTCTTCGTTGAGTTCAGTCTTCTCCCACAAGCTTTCTGAAAACCCCACAATTTTGAAATTACCCGCGCTCCCATTTTCAATGTTTTCAAATTTTTCATTCCAAAAAAAGAAAAAAAAAAAATTCTTCTCCCTCTGTATTTAAATCCCTGAATCTTCTTCATTTTCCCCAACCCTCAACAGCATTCAAATTCTCTTCTTTCTTCTCGAAACCCCTTCAATTCCCAATCACAACAATGCCTGCGATTCCAGAAGAACCGCTTCTAGCTCCAAACCCAGATCGGTTCTGCATGTTCCCAATCCATTACCCTGAAATCTGGGAAATGTACAAAAAACACGAAGCATCCTTCTGGACCGCCGAAGAGGTTGATCTCTCACAGGATCTCCGCCACTGGAACTCCCTCACCGACGGCGAGCGTCACTTCGTGACCCACATCCTCGCCTTCTTCGCCGCCTCCGACGGCATCGTCCTGGAAAATCTCGCCGGAAGGTTCATGAAGGAAATCCAAGTCGCCGAGGCACGTGCCTTCTATGGCTTCCAGATCGCCATCGAGAATATCCACTCCGAGATGTACAGTCTCCTTCTCGAAACCTACATCAAAGACCCCACCGAGAAGAATCGTGTGTTCCACGCCATCGAAACCATTCCATGTGTCGCGAAGAAGGCTGAGTGGGCCCTACGCTGGATCGACGGTTCCGAAACCTTCGCGGAACGCCTCGTGGCCTTCGCATGCGTCGAAGGGATTTTCTTCTCTGGAAGCTTCTGCTCGATATTTTGGCTTAAAAAGCGCGGGTTGATGCCGGGACTCACCTTCTCGAACGAACTCATCTCGCGAGATGAAGGTCTCCATTGCGATTTCGCTTGTTTGTTGTATTCTCTTATGAGGAAGAAGCTGAGCGAGGAGCGCGTGAAGGGGATCGTGCGTGATGCGGTGGAGATAGAGAGGGAGTTTGTCTGCGACGCGCTTCCTTGCGCTTTGGTGGGGATGAATGGGGATTTGATGAGTCAGTACATTGAGTTTGTTGCGGATCGGTTGCTGGTTGCGCTTGGGTGTGGGAAGGTGTACAATGTTCAGAACCCCTTTGATTGGATGGAGCTGATTTCACTTCAGGGAAAGACCAACTACTTCGAGAAGTGCGTCGGCGAGTACCAGATGGCTTCCGTTATGTCTAGCTTGAACGGAAACGGTGGTGCACACGTCTTCAAGATGGATGAGGATTTCTAATTCAAATTCCCGTTTAGGACCCTTTATTTTTTTTTCCTTGTTTCTTGTGTAATAATCAGGATATTCCCTGTCACTGTTAGTTTAGGTTAATGTATTTTTTACTTTTTAAGCCATAGTTGTTTTTAGTTGTGGATATGTTCTATGGTTTGTTTTTTATATCTCAGTGAGAAATGATAAGGTATAAATTCAGAATATCAAGCTTGATTAATAATATTTATTGTTGTTCCTTATTTTTTATTGCTCGAGTAAATTTATATTTTGATTTGATTACACGAAGAAGGAAAAAAAGTAGGGTTTTTTTTTTGTTTTTTTTTTTTAATAAACTACGTTATATTTAAAGTGAAATTTTTTATCCTCTTGTGGTAAATAATTACAAAATTTCTTTGGGTGTTGAGAAAGCTAAAACAAGAAAAAGGAGCTTGGCTCATTGTTTCATTAATTCTGTAAAAAAGTACAATTGGTCCTTTATATATAGCTATACATCAACCTGCAAGTGAATAACAAAGTCTAACAAACTAATAGAAAGAAGAAACGAGAAAATACGAACTGACTAACAGAAGTAAATAACAGAAAACTAACTAAAGGCTATCTATCATGATTAGTTGCTGCAAAATACGTGTCATTATCTTCAGCTCTTTTATCCACATCAGCAACTCCACAAAGCTTGTTTGCTGTAATAGATGTATCCACTTCATTCATTTTCTGTAACACCCCTCCACAAGATGGGCGCATAAAATTGAGGAGACCAATCTTGGACATGATGAAAGTGAAACGAGGACGAGCCAAAGGCTTGGTAAATACATCAGCAAGTTGAGAAGCTGAACTAACAGGGAGCAGCCTGATTAAACCAGAAACAATTTTTTCACGGGTTACATGGCAATCAATTTCGATATGCTTAGAGCGCTCATGGAAAGTTGGATTATGAGCAAGGTAAATTGCTGATCTATTGTCGCAGAAAACGGAAGCTGGTTTGTCCCACGGGATGCATAAATCTGTGAATAAGTATTGTAACCACTGCAATTCACATGAGAGACTGGCTAAAGCTCGGTACTCAGCTTCGGATGAGGAACGCGAAATAGTGTTCTGTTTCTTAGCTCTCCATGCCACAAGAGACGACCCAATGAAGATACAGTACCCTGAGATGGATTTTCGCGTGTCAGGACAACAGGCCCAGTCAGCATCAGCAAATCCGCTTACATGAAGGTCAGAATGTGCTGAGAAGAACAACCCAGTTGTGGGGTTCCCTTTCAAATATCTGAGAACTCGAAGAGCAGCTGCCATATGAACATCCGAAGGACAGGAAACGAATTGAGATAGCTGTTGCACAGCAAAAGAAATATCAGGGCGCGTTGTGGTCAAATAGAGCAAGCGACCAATCAAGCGTCTGTAGGGAGCAACATCAACCAACAAGTTCCCTTGTGTGCGAGATAACTTGCACGATGGATCCATTGGGGTATGAACTGATTTTGCTCCCAACAGCCCAGCGTCTGAAATGAGCTCAAGAGTATACTTTCGCTGATTGACATGAATTCCAGTCTTGGATCTAGCAACCTCTAAGCCAAGGAAGTATCTCAGGTAGCCTAAATCCTTTATCTTGAATCTGCTGTCAAGATAGGATTTTACCCTGTCAATCTCGTCAAGGCAATCACCTGAAAGCACTATATCATCAACGTAGACCAGAAGTACAGTGAAGCTTGAAGATGTGTGACGAACAAAAATGGAATGATCAGAATTGGTTTGCTTGTAACCCAACAAAACCAAGGCTGAGGAAAGCTTGGCATACCACTGACGACTAGCCTGTTTTAATCCATATAGAGATTTGTGAAGTTTACATACAAGGTTCGGATGAGAAGTCTGCAAACCTGGAGGAACTTGCATATAAACCTCCTCATTAAGGTCTCCATGGAGGAATGCATTGTTCACATCCAATTGAGCAAGATGCCATCCTTTCACAGCAGCAACAGCTAAGAGTGTTCTAACTGAGTTGAGCTTTGCAACAGGAGAAAACGTATCAAAGTAATCTACCCCCTCTTGCTGCGTGAAACCCTTAGCCACAAGCCTTGCTTTGTAGCGTTCAATGGTGCCATTGGAGTGAAACTTGATCTTATAGACCCACTTACAACCGATAGGTTGCTTATGGGGAGGTAATTCAACAAGAGACCATGTATGGTTATGTGCTAAAGCATCAAGTTCACTCTGCATAGCCACCTGCCATTCCTTATGAGCAACAGCTTGAGAATATGTGTGAGGTTCAAAGTGAGTGGAGGAATTCAAACAGAAACGTTTGAAAGGTAAACAACAAGAATCATAGGAAAGAACATCAGATAAAGGGTAAGGAGTACCTGGAGATGATTGAGTAGAAGTGAGAGCAGCAAGCCCATGGTGATAATCAATGAGGTAGTTAGGAATGCTACGAGCCCGAGAAGAACGACGGGTAGCTACAAGAGGTGGTATAATGGCTTCTGACTGTAGGAGAGGAGAATTTAGAGTGGCATCCGGAAGAATGGGGGAAGGAGGTTGTGGAGTAACAATGTTTGGATTGGTGATGGGAAAAACCAGATCATAAGCATCACTCAAGTTATGAGGATCAACAGGCAAAATGGGTTTAACAGGAAACTCCAAGGATGGAGTGTGTTTAAAAGGAAAAATATCCTCATAAAAAACAACATTGCGTGACACGAAAAATGCATGAGAGGCCAAGTCATAGATCAAGTATCCCTTAGTACCATCCTTATATCCAACAAAAATTCTCTTCCTAGCTCGTGGAGAAAATTTTGTACGATGGGCAGTGTATGTGGAAGCATAAGATAAACACCCAAAAACCCGTAAGTGATCTAAGGTAGGTGGTTTACCAAACAGTTTTTCATATGGGGTTAAGTTGCCAAGAAGTGGAGTACATACACGATTTATAAGATGGACTGCATGAACAACAGCATATGACCACAAAGTAGGAGGAAGTGAAGCTTGAAACATTAAAGCACGTGCCACATTAAGTAAATGCTGGTGTTTTCGTTCCACAATGGCATTTTGTTGTGGAGTCTCAACACAACTAGTTTGGTGAATTATCCCTCTTGAATTGAAGAAATCAGGCATAAAAAATTCCCTTCCATTATCACTCCTTAGTATTTTGATTGAGCATTCAAATTGATTGACAATAAATGCAAGGAAGTGATGGATATGGCTACGGACCTCACTTTTATGCTTCATTAAAATAACCCAGGTGAAGCGAGAGAAGTCATCCACCAAAGTTAAAAAATATTTGTGTCCAGTAACAGATGATATGTGAAATGGCCCCCATATGTCAGCATGCACAATTTCAAAAATACGACTAGTGACAGAATGACTAGAAGTAAAAGGCAATTTCCTTTGTTTGGCCAAATGACAAGAATCACAAGGTTGTATACATCGAGAACAAGGAATTAAAGAGAATTGGGATGACATAGTTTGTAAAATAGTATCTGACACATGGCCTAATCTCCTATGCCACAAAACAGATTCATTAGAGGAAGAATCTGACATAGTGGATGCATTGTTACTGCAATGAGCTACTGGTGTAGGCTCTGAGCCCTTATTCTTCAAAGTTCTATCCTCATTTATTATCACATAGAGGCCTTGCTGCTGTCTAGCTATACCAATCATCTCCTGGGAGGGATTCTGTGAAATGAAACAGAAGGAGTCACGAAAAATCAGATGACAATTAAGGGATCGAATCAATCTTGAAACAGACACCAAGTTCACATGGAATTCTGGAACAAATAAGACATTTGTAATGGTGAGGCTAGGTAGTAAGCGAACAGTGCCAGAAAAATAACAGGTTACATGCGTTGCATTAGGAAGCATGACAGATATTGGTCAGTTGCACCAGTGTCTATCACCCATTGCATACTGAGACTACCTGAAGCACCTGTGCGTGTGTTTGAAATTTGTGTGATATTCACAGCATGATTAGGAACAGTCTGGGCTACATCATCAGGAGCAGGTTGTGAGCTATGTAGAAGAGATACCAAGTGTTGGTATTGCTCTTGAGAGAAGCTACCAAAGTTCATATCATTTCTGGCACTCAAACCAGATTGATTAACGTTCAAATTATCTTGAACAACATTATTAGCACTGCTTGGAGCAGTTCTGGTACGATATCCAGGAGGATATCCATGAAGCTGATAGCATGTCTCAGTGGTGTGGTTCATCCTACCACAATGAGTGCACAAACGGTTTCCTCTGCCTCCAAATCGACCACGTCCTCTGCCATTTCTTCCTCCTGGAACACTGAAATTTCTTCGCATGTCATTGCAAGTAAAGCTGTTGTTGTTGTTACGAGTATCACCTCCAGTAACATTGTTACTCTTATTGAAAGCAGTGAATGTTTGTGGAACACTTCCACTATCATTACCAAACTGCCTCTCCTGCTGTGAAACCATAGAGAATGCACGATTAACATTCGGCAGTGGATCCATTAGCATGATCTGAGATCGAACCGCAGCATATTGATCATTTAGTCCTTTGAGAAATCGAATCATATGATCTCGATCACGATATGCTCTCATTCTGTTGAAAGCACCACATGTACATGGAGGAAAACAAGAACACGCAGGCAATGGCTTCAAGTTCTCTAGTTCATCACACATAGTTTTAAGTTCTGTATAAAAATCTGATACACTACGATCACCTTGATGCAGTTTGTAGATCTCCTCCTGTAGATTTGAAATACGGAACACATCTGACTGCGAAAAACGTTCTTGCAGATCCAGCCACACATCACGAGCTTTTTCTATCCAGATTATGGATTTCGAAATGGATTCTGATATGGAGCGATGAATCCAGGTTATCACCATGGTATTACATCGTTGCCATTGAGAAAAACTTGGATCATTAGGTCCAGGAGAGATGATGTTTCCATCGATAAATCCAACCTTATTCTTGGACAGAAGCGCTACAGTCATCGAGCGAGCCCAGGTATGGTAATTACTTCCGGTTAATGGCGGATTCACCAAAATCAACGACGGATTTTCATTTGAATGGAGAAACAGAGGATTTGATGGATTTGTATTGTAGTCCATGCCATAATTTCCAAGATCCATGACAAAAGGCAATGAAGAACGAAAGGAAAAAGACGAAAGCTGAGTACCAGAGCTCTATGTAAGCTCTGATACCATGTTGAGAAAGCTAAAACGAGAAAAAGGAGCTTGGCTCATT